ATGATTACCCATTTTTTAATTATAACTCTACTATGTTCTTGCTATGTGGCATTGGGAAAATAATTTAACTTCTCTGTACTTCATTTTCTTTTTAATTTTTTAATTAATTAATTTTTGTAACAGATGTTTCTCCTTTTTCCCCCTTGACACCCTCCCCCCGCCCTGTCCCCAGCACTGTTGTCTATGTCCATGGTTACACATACATGCATATAAATCCTGTGGTTTATCTCTCCCCCCCCCCCCCTTTTGAGGTTTGTCAGTCTGTACCCTACTTCCAGGTCTCTGGGTCTATTTTGTTCATCAGCTTGTTTTGTTCATTATATTCCACAAATAAGTGAGATCATGTGATATTTGTCTTTCTGTACTTCATTTTCTTCATCAGTAAGATGAGGAGCATAATAGTATCTACCTCATAGAGTTACTTTGAGGCATTTGCATATATGTATATGTGTAAAAGACTTGGAGAAGTGACCAGAAAATAATAATAAATGCTTCTTGTGATAAATATTTTTATATCCTTTTGATCTGGTGACTTACTCATGCCTTGGAAGCTTAGAGAGGGCTGACCTAATTAAGTCTCAGAAAAAGGCCCAAATGCACCGCTCAGCATAACTTGATGCTCCCGACGGCTGGCTGGGAGTACTGAGCAAGGCAGAGTCCAGCTTGACCAGTGGGTTCTATTGTGCAAAACAATGTCAGTACAAACTTGTTTGTACCAGTCTGACAGTTTGAATACAAAGTGTTCTAAGTAGTTTTCTCGATCTCATTATTAACTCATTTATAGAAGCCTCCAAAGTCTTCCTTGCTTATTTGTTTCCTAGGGACAAAGGAAACAAATTGTTTTGCTTAAAATTTCCTAGAACCTAGAGGGCCTCTGTACTCAGTTCCCCAACAATTTTGATTGAAACATGAACCAAGTTTGGGATTACTTTTTGGAAGGCTAGAGACTGTACGTGAGTCTAGAGGAGAGTTGATTCATTTCAGTTCATCAGTTCTGTGTGTGTGTGTGTGTGTGTGTATGCGCGTGTGTTTTATTTAAACATTTCCTGGAGTATTTTTAAAATACAGAAATGAATATAACAAGAACATACTCATTCTTGTATTCACCAACTGCATTGTACAAATTTTAACTTTTTGCTGTATTTGTCTCAACTTATTTTTCCCCAGAAGTAAACCCTACTCTGAAGTTAGTATGTATTTTTTCAGGTTTATATTCTTTTGTCAAATATGTATGTATTAATAACATATAGTATCCTTAAATGTAATATATAAAAATGTGTGTTTCATCTCCTCAAATTTTTTCACTTATCATTTTCAAAGATTTATTCATGATGATACATGGATTATTATAGCTCTCATTTTTTTATTGAATTATAGTTGATATTCCATATTATACAGGGTGAGGCAGAAGTAGGTTTAGAGTTGTGAGTACACAAAAGTTTATTCTTGTATTATTATTGATTAATTATTGTATTATTTTCCATATGAACAACTGTAAACTTGCTTTTACCACACGCTGTGTTGGTTTCAGAGGTACAACAGTCATTTGATATTTTATACATTACAGAATGTCTGTCACCATACAAATTCATTACAATATTATTGACTATATTCCCTATGCTGTGCATTACATCCCCACGACTTATTTATTTATTTTCAACAACAGAAAGTACACTCTTGGGCTTTCTTTTATTTCTGGAGGATTGCTGAAATGTGAACCACACAGGGAAGTGTCCAGCCAGGTTCCCTCTGTGGGGTGACTGCGGACGCTTCCTGCACCTGCACCGGGGCTTCTCCACGGCCCCTGCCGCCTGGCCTCCTCTCTGGCCATCGGTCCGTCCACCTGAGCCAGCCTCAGAAGCCCTGCTTGGAGGACGAGGTCACGACGCTGTTCCCGGTGGAGAGGACGTAAGGGCACTGTGGCAGCTCTTGGCTCTCTGCTCCGGCAGCCTGCCTGCCGGCAGCCGGAGGCCTGGCGTTGGCCCTGGGGCCCGAGTCCCGCAGGCCTGGCAGTGGCTGTCCAGCAGCCCCAGAGCCACTGGGGTCCAAGCCGGGCCACTCGCTCTTCTGTGGCCCCGCGGGGCGCTGCTGCGCGCCTCTGCCGGCGTTGGGAGCCCGAGAACAAGGCCTCCCAGGGGGAACAGCTCTTCGTCCCTGAGGTTGACGATGGGCACAGGGGCGACACTGCACGATGCTGTGGAGGTCCTGCAGGCGCGACTACAGGGAGGCGTGGAGGGTGCCCCCCAGCCCGCGCACACCTGCTGGAGGCAGTGAGGTCGGGGCCACGGATGCGACCAGGTGCAGCAGGTCCTGGGAGCCCGGTGGGTGGGTGCGGGAGTGCAGGTGGGGTGGGCTCGTTGGGGTGCACTAGGAGCTGTGTTGCAGCACTCCGGGGTAGGGTTGGGGTCCAGCAGGCATGGGGGGCCTCGCCAGGATGTGGTCAGTCCGCCAGGGCTGTGCTGAGGAAGGGGCCACTCCCACCGGGGTGCGGGTTACCCTTGTGCAGGTGCACTGGAGGGGGCTGCAAGGCATGACATTTATTTATAACCGGAAGTTTGTACCTGTTAATCCGGTTCACCTATTTCATTCATCCCTGCCCCCTTCCCTTGTGGCAACCACCAGTTTGTTCTCTGTATTTATGAGTCTATTTCTGTTTTGTTTTGTTTGTTAGTTTGTCTTGTTTTTTAGATTCCTTCTATAAGCTAATTCTTGGAGGTACAGGGACAAGGTCGAGGTAGAGTTTTGATTCAATTAAATAATGAGGCTCATTCTTTGTATTTGGTACACAGCACTGTGCTTGACACATCATAGATGCATCATAAATATTAATTGATAGGTTGAAGGGAATCGAATATACTTAGTGTCTACCAGGGAAAATGCAAAAAGGCATGCAAGATACGATCCCAGCTCTTGGGGGCTCTTAGTATAGTTGAGGAATTATATCAGCACAAGAAGAGCCATAGCCATAGCGTTTGGGACTCTAGGGAGGAAGGGTCAGGGTTCAAAGAGAGAAATCCCTGGGGTTTGACTATGAAGGAAGGACTTGGGGGAAGGGGAGTAACTCATGCTGGGCCTGGAAGGACGGGACAGGTTTCAGAGAGGAGCAGAGCGGGGAGGGAGCATGTAGCATGACGATGAGCTTGTGTTCTCCCTGGGGGATGTGTGGCCTGGACAAGCAGAGGTGGGGAAGAGGGTTCTGACCGGCGATGGGGAGGTGAAGTTAAAGAGCAGAAAGTCCATGGGCCAGGGGCGCCATTAGGAAACAGAGACCACGTTCACATAACTTTTATTACAGTATATCATCATGATTTTTCTATTTTATTATTAGTTATTTTTGTTGCTCTCTTACTGTGTCTAATTTATAAATTAAACGGTATCATAGGTATACATGTATAAGGAAAAAGATAGGTCCAATAGGGTTCGGTACTATCTGTGGTTTCAGGCATCTACTGGGGGTCTTGTTAGTGTCCCCTTCCATGAGGGGGCACTGCTGTACCCTGACTCTGCTGTTCCTTCCTCAAGGGCTGGCAGGGGAGAGAAGCAGAAAAAAGGGTGATTTTCTTGTGGACTCACCAGCTGGTTCCTTGTCTGACACTTCTGGGGCGTGTTTGTGGGCCAGGAGGACTAATGGTAACCTGTCCCCAGTGTCTGCCTCCAACTCCCACTTCCCAGCCTGCTGCCTGTAGATTCCCTTGGAGCTTTCTCTCGGGGTCAGACACGATTCCGGGTGTTGGAGAAGGTCTTCTGTTTCCTCTGGCCTCCTCATCCACGACAGCCTGGGTATCCCTGGCTGCCCGCAGGCCAGACCTGATGGCAGCGTCTGTCCAGCCATGGGGCTGGCTGGTATGCTCACCAGCAAAGTGGATGCGGCCCTCTGGCTGGAAGAGTCGCTGTAAATAGTCCTCAATCTGGTGGGGCACAAACTGCGTGACGCTGCCCATGAAGAGGGGATCCAGGGACCAGTGTTTGAGCACAGAGGTGGGGCACATGCGCCGCAGCTCCTCCTTGGGTATCTGGTGTACAGGTCCTCTAGGACGATGTCCACCACCTGGTCGTGCTGCATGGATGTGAAGAAGAGGGAACCATTGCCCAGCGTGTAGGAGGCCAGCAGGACGCCCTTGCCGCTGGGAAGGCGGTGGCTGGGGTAGTAGATGTAGCGTGAGGGCCAGTCGGTGATGGAGACCCCGCCCCGGATGCCATCCCGTTCCCAGAAGGGTTCCTCACAGGCCAGAACCACCTTGGTAGCGCTGATGTAATGGACCCAGCGGAGAGCATCCACCTTGTCGAGGGAGAGAGGTGGCGTAAAGGTGATGAAGCACGTGGCCTTGGCCAAAGCGGAGATGATGATAAAATTCACAGTGAGGTTGTGCAGTGATGAGTTGGATTCACCCACCTGATAGGAAATCTGTACCTCGGGCCCAGCCCTCACGACCGTCTCCACCTTGGAGCCCAGATGGATGGTGCCAGGCTTCAAGCTGGCGCTGAGGGCTTTGGGGAGCTGGTCGAAGCCGCCTGTGATCTCGGTAAAGTTGCAAGGGGGGGAGGCATGAGGCCAGTTGCCCAGTCCCGGCAGCGTTCCTGGTCTGAAAGGGGCGGACACTTCATCTACATTCTTTATGTACAGCATAACCAGTCTCTGCGAGGGAAGGACTGTCGTTGAATTTTATAGTTTGGAATGCTGACACCCAGAGAAAAGGGAGTTTCCCATGACGGCAGCCTGTAGATTCAGCCACCGTGCAATTCTGCATCCCAGGAGGAGTCCTACACACCCAGGTTTGGATTCTGGTTCCAGCCCTTGGCCCAGTTGTGTGAACTTGGCTGTTACACCATTTCTCTGGGCTCTCAGAAACCTCCCTGGTACAATGGCTTTGAATAATAGTACCTGCCTTCCAGGTGATCGTAAGATTAACTGTGATAACTCTTGGAAAGTGCTTAGGCTGATGCCTGGCACATAGTAACTGCTCAATAATCGAAGTTCCCTTTCTCTGCTCTGATTGGAGGAGGAGACAGACTTGAATCCTGGTCCAGATCAACCTGACTCATCACTTTTGGAGAAGATGAGGTCAGACTGCAGGGACTCTAGGAACCACTTGTTGAATTTAATATCCTCATTCATCACATCCCTGATCATCTTGACTGCTGCTGGGCTCAGCATCGCTTCCTTCAGCAGGTAAGCCTGTGGGGAGATAGAAACACCAGGTGGGGGGCCCAGTGTGTAGGAAGGGGCTTCAGCAGGGGCCTGGGTCAGGCAAGGGGTGGGACTGGATTCCAGGGAGGTAAAGGCTTGGCAGTGGAAAGAGGGTCCTGGTAGGCAAGGGACAACCCCTGGGAGCTAAGCTGAGCACAACCCTCCCTCCCCCATCTCTATCCTGGGATTTCTTTGCCTCACTCACCTTGGTGGAGTAAGAATCATAAAAGGGCTGCAGTTGAAAATGTCCAGACATTGTTAGACCTGCAAAAGGAGGGGAAGGGGAAGCAGCTTTAGATTAAAACCAAATATCTGAAGCAAGACTCCCAGGGTCTCTGGATGTCCCCTTGAAGAGGGTGGGGTCAAGGAGGCGGGGGATGGAAGAATCTGAGGAAGGACGCTTCCGGGAGCTCCTAAATGCTTCTTTTTGCCCTCAAATCTCCCCTTCTTTTAAAGATCTTTGGAGACTAAAATCTGAGGTGAAGACCTTCACTGCAATCTGGCAGGACTGATTTAATACCAAGGGTGCCCTTTCCTTCCGCTGCACTGATCAATCATTGCCATGGGCCACCCAAGGACAGGAGATACGGGGCTGGGCATAGGGTTTGGGTGGCAACATTCTTAGTGGGTGTTAGAGGAAGGCAGACCAATCACAAGGGTATTGGAGAGGCGTCAGGTGACCTGGGTCCATCCACTAATTTGCCAGGTGACTTCAGGCCAGACCCTGTTCTTTCCCAACCCTGGGAGGGTGAGGCAGCAAGCACCTTGGCAGTGGACTGGTAGGAGAGAGTCTCAGCATCTTGCCCTTCTCCGTGGGGTTCGCGGAATAGCCCAGGACCTCTGGGTGGGCCTTGACCTCCCTGGTGCGACAGTGTTGTCTGTTGGTGAGGTACCAGGTGTTGCCATCGTATTGAGTGAACTTGTTCAGCTTCAGGCCCAGCTTCTTGACATAGGTGTGGACCGGTCTGCAGCAAATACGGGCATGACACGGCAGCCGCCCCCAGGCACCTTGCTCCTGCTGGCCTCACCGTAGGAGCCATTTCCAGGAGAACCAGTTTCTCTCTGTGCCCAGGGAACTCAGACTAACTCCTTCCTCATCCCTGATCCTGTTTCATTTTGCTCTGGCATCAATTCTTTTCCTTTTGTCTTTGCCCCGGGGGAGGTGGGGAGGAGGCAGTTCACCCATCAGGAATGGAGGCCCTCGGGAAATGCCGGGTGGGGACAGAGGCCTTTTGCTTCAGACAGCGTTGAAATCCCACTTTCCATCTGCAGGTGAGTTCGAGGCCAGATCTAAAGACTTCTACTTTGGTTGTTTCAGTTGGATTTTGTTTTTGTTTTTGGTGGTGTTTGGAGGGACATCTGCAGTTCGGTTCATATTTTGAAAAGAAGTCATATTCCTGGAGGTATGTGGGACACCAGGTGAGGGATCGTTTTGGTCTTAGAAGCCTCAGATGGGGGGTCGGGCTCTCTTCCAGGCGTCAGGCGCAGCTCCGAAGTCAAGTATCCGCTTTTGCGTCAGGCACGGCCTTGATTTTGAGGGGCTTTGTCACTTTCTCCCGAGAGACTCTTGGGTGAGTCACTTACTACTCTGAGTCTAGTTTCTTAATTTATAAATGGGAAACATGAGTATCAAACGGCAACAATGAGATATTGCCCGGGTCATGCTTAGCACATAGGAAGCGCTCAACAAATGGTAGCTGTTGTCGTTTGATAGTTTACCGTGGTATAACTGACATTTGAGAAACTGCCTGTGTTTAAAGCACACTATTGTCATTATTAGTTTGGAACCTTCCACTTTCTCTGGGACCCTGGGCTCTGAGACTCGTTGTCTCTGTCAAGTGGGAGACCAGTTTCAGTCCTGACTAGCAGGATCGGACCCCATGGATCAGTGAGTCAGAAAGGGCTCTGACTCCAGGGAGCAGGGCCCACACTAGCTCCTCCCAACCCCTGGTACTTGCCCTCCCTCCATCCCTTTCCCAGGACTTACCTCTGGGACTTTGGGGTTCGCATGGGACCCAGTTCATGGTACCAGCTCTCCTCCTCGTTCCTGATTGTGACCACTCGGCCCCCAACGTAGTCGTTGGCGGCTTCCAGGATGGAAACCTGGGGTCCGGAGAAGCTGCTGCCATCCCCAGGGCCAGGCTCTTCCTTCTCCCACCCTGTACTCCAACCCGCCCAGCCACAGGCTGTCATCCCAGCAGAAGGCCCCTGAATGTGCAGAATAACCAAACTGCGGGGCGGGGCTTCTCCAGGAGGGTCCTCAGTCCTGTGAGTGAGGCAGAGTGCTCCACGGTGGCAGGGGACAGAGTGCCCCTAGTTTTCACCTATTAGCACCCCCTTCTCTACTTCTGCTTCCCATGCGAACAGAGGCTGCGGACAACGTCAAGTCTCGGGGGAGTTTTGAGGAACAATGACTAACGGCTAAGAGATCGTGGGTTCCAGGCAGGTGTTTTCTTTTCCTTTTCCCACCCAGTAAGCAAACCCAGAGGCAGATGACTAAACCAAAGCCTGCTCCCCTGGTGGCCAGCATCCTGCAGGTGCCACCAGGTCGGACATGCCAGCTCCCACCACCACCACGTGCTTGGGCAGTGGGGAGGGGCCGAGGCCCTCCTGGGCTGTGACAACAACGGACTCAAAGGCAGGGTCCTGGAAGCAGCTGCCCAGGTCTTCAGAGTGGCCGAGGCAGCTGGGGGTAGCCAACAGGAGCCTGAAGATCAGGATTCCTGGGGCAGAGAAAGGAATGGGGGCTGGCTTTCTGGGGCTCAGGTGCTGTCCCCCACCCTACCCAGGGTGAGCTTGGCTGTGTGAGACGAGTGGAGATGGTAAGGTCAGGCGGACTGTTGAATGTGTGGTTGTAAGCAGGTGTTTGCGACTGTGTCTCTGGTGGGGTGATTGTGTTGTGTGGGTATGAATGTATTTCAAAGGGTGCTGGTGTTAGCTGTGTGAGTGTAACTGTGGACTGCAAGTGCACATGTGTGCATGGGACTGGAGCTCACGAGGCTGCAAATGTGCCTGCTTCCGGTGGGGAATGTGTGTGTGGGTGAGCTTGTCTGTGACATGAGTTGCTGTAATTGTGAGTTTGTGATTGTTGCCCTGGATGACTGTGCATTGTCTGTGGTTTTATGTGAGGGCGTGTGTTTGTGGGACAGTGTGGTTACCCGAGTAGATGCATGCATGAACCTGTATGGGAAAGCAAGATGGGATGAAGTGTGTGTGTGTGTGTTCAGGTGTGTGTTAGCCTGGAAGAGTGGGGATGGTACATGTACATTTGCTTGAGTTTGAGAGAGAATACGGTTGCTTGTGTTCTTGTGTTTAATTCTGTGTGTGCATTTGATTGTGAGGCTGGGTTGGGAGCCTAAAGGTGTGTGTATTCTTTGGGAATGTGTGCATTTGGGGTGTGTGTGCGTGCAAGTGTGTGTGCGAGTGTGAGCGTGCAAGTGTGAGTGTGTGTGAGTGTGTGAAGCACAGCTCTGTCTGGGGACAGGGAGTGGAGGACTGTGACCAGTCTGTCAGTGGCGTCACAAGTGCCCAGGAACCTTGCAACCCTGTTGCTCTTCCCAGCTCACAGGAGGTTCCCAGAGCCTCCAGGTTTCCTGACGTGCAGCCGAGGTGGGACCAGAGTTAGTGTGGAACGTGCAGTGAGTCCGGAGTGACTCGGTGTCTTCTCCACCGTCATTGCTCCGACGGACAGAGGATTCACCTGGCCCTCAAGACAAGAGGCTGTGCAGGGTCCTCACTGTTGCCTGTCCTAAAAGGGAAAAGCCGGCGGGGGGGCACATGTGCTTCCTTGCACTAGCTCTGGGGTTTGGGGCGGGTGAGAGCCCCCAGTCTAGTCTTTGTACAAGCAGGACAACCGAGGTTCACAAAAGAAAAGGGGTCTCCAGGGGCTGCCCCGAGGAGACGCGGGGCACCAGCTGGTTCCCGGTGCAGGCCCTTCCCCAGCCGAGAGAGCCTTCTGCAGGGGGGACTCCTCAGAAAAGAGGAGGGGTAACCATGTCCCATGGGAAGACCCCCAGCCTCCCACTGCAAGGCCCACTTCAATCTCCCTAATCCATTCTCCACCCCTGACGAACTTTCCATCTTCCCGAGCGACCGCCATTCCTATCTCAGACGCCATGCCCTTCCTCTCGGATGGCCCCAGCCCCCAACTCATTCCCCAGCCCTATATCCATTCTCTCGACTCACTGTCAGTACCTGGACCTATCCCTGCCCCTGGTCTGGCTTCTGTCACATCTCAGTCCCCATCCATTTTCCCCTTGCATAGCCCTATACCCAGACTCCCTTTGGATCCATCTCAACTCGCTTAGCCCATCCCCACCCCTCAACCCAGCTCTTCTCCAGTCTCAGTGTCTAACCCCTCCCTCCACGGGTGCCTCTCTCTCAGACCCACAGAAGGGACTCCACTCCCCCTCATCGTGGCCGTGGACTGCGGTCCTGCGGGGCCCCTGGTGGCTCTCCCTCTCTTCATGAGGATCCAGCTCCACCCCAGCAGCGGCTGGCCTCATCCCAGCAGCCTGCCCCAGGGCCCTAGGGCTGCCCAAGCAGAGAAGGAAGCCAAGCCCTCAAGGCCTGGGCTGTCGGCTGGGATGACCTCCTGTCTCAGTCCCATCCCCAGCCTCCTCTTCTGCATTCCCACCTCCTCCTGGCCTGCCTCCCCTCCTAGGAGAGACCTCATTTTTTTTTTTTCTCAGAAAAGGTGTGTGGGAGGGATCACAGAGGACCATTATTAGAAAATGCCTTGATTTTTAACTGACTTTGTTGTTGTTGTTACTCCTCACCCGAGGGTATTTTTCCACTGATGTTTCAGATAAAGTGGAAGGGGAGAGAGAGAAAAACACCAGTTGAGAGACACATCAATTGGTTGACCCCAACGAGGGCTGAGGACTGAACCTGCAACACAGATATGTGCCCTTGACTGGGGATTGAGCCCATAACCCTGGGCATGTGTCCTGACCAGGAATCAAACTGGCAATCTCTTGGCCCATGGGGTCGATGTTCAACCACTGAGAGGCACTGGCTGGGCTCACCTGACTTTTTTATTGTTAAGTTTCCTCTTAATTTTTATTGATATTTATTTGACGGAGTATAGAAGTCTACAGTCCAGACACTATTTTCACTAGATCTTGGAAGGTACGTCTTCAATATTTTTGGAATCCAGTGTTACTGATAAAATCTAATGCTACTTCTGTTCATTGTTTCTTGGCAAGTAATGTCTTGGCTTCCCCACTGCTGGGAACATATAAGGATCTTCTTTTTTTCACAGGAATTCTGAAATCACATGAAAACATGTTCGGATGCCAGTTTTTCCCCAATCATCTGGCTGGCAGACAGGAACCTTCTGGCTCTGAAGACTTGAGACTTTGCCAGCTCAGGGAATTGTCTTTCTACTTTTATCAGTTATTTCTATTTTTGTCCTAGAATTCCAGTAAGAACCATATCTTTTCATCATTTATTTTTTTCCTTATATTTTCCACTTCTTTATAATTTTATTAAATTGTGAAAATGATTGTTATATAAAGTGTATCATACTGTGTGTATTCTGCAACTTGCTTTTCTTTTCCTCAAGGTGTCCCCCAAAAATGTATATACACTTTGAATAGCTCAACTGATGTTTCTTTCTTGTCAGATTTAACCCATTGGAATTAATAATTGTTCAGTTATCTAGGGCCCAAGAAGGTGGCAGGCCCTGTTTGGCAGATGAATGTCTGTGGTGAGACAAAGAAAGGGCCTGGCCAGGGGTCGGGCAGCCGGGAGACCACGGCTGGGGTTGGGAGCTAGAAATGCACAGCCCCGTGTCCTGCAGGAGAGGCCAGGGCAGGGCTCCCCCACACTCAGGCATGCCCCGACCGCACCCCTACCCCCACAGTGAGGACAAATGCTCTGCCCAGGACTCTGAGTGGAATTCGATCTGCAAGAACATTTTTGTGCACAGTGCCTGTCTGCGCTCCGAGATGTCTTATCTAGCAGTCCACTTAAACGGACTGGTCTCCAAGTGGCTCTTGATGCAAGATTATTCTGTTCACATTAAAGGAAGGAGGATGGTGGTGCTGATGGAGATTAGGGAGAGACCAAAGCCTTTCCTGGCATCTCTGAGGACACCATTGTATGTACCCTTGCCCTCATGGTGCTCACAAACCCACAAACACACGGGACCCACGTAATCTGTGTGCGTGTGCGTGTAGTCCCACGGACCCGTCTCCCCACCTAGTTTCACACTTGCACTGCTCAGTTCCTGCCAGAGGAACCATTCAAGTGTCCTACTGTCAAGGAGGGCTGGAGAATAAACCCTGCAATGACCCTTTGGTATTATCCTGCCTCTTCACTCTCCCCACACCACACCCCACTGCACACACGTACATACCCCTCTTTGTCCTCCATGCAGGGCAATCCTGGGGCAGAATAGGGAGGAGGATTGGGCCAGGCTCACTGCAGATCAAAAGCACTTTGGGAGGGAATGGCCTCTGGACCGGGAGCCCTGCCCTACCCCATCACACCCACCGGCCAGCCCATTACCCAGAGACCTCCTGTCCTCCCATCAAAGCATCCACATGCCAGGCCAGAGGACCACCCAGGAGAGGTGTGCAGTCCATGGGAGAACTAGGAGCTGAGTTGGGGGGTAGCGGCTGCCTCAGTTTCCTCATCAGGAAGTGCAGTGGGGAACAGAGCTGGTTCCTGTGATTGGGCCCCTCCAGTTCTGCCCTTCTGCTTTGGAGCTGATCATTAGACCTGGGGAGTGGGGTCCCTGTGCTCACACAAAGCTCCTGCCCTTGCACCTGGCCTAGAACACCCATGGCTGGAGAGGGTGTGCTGGGAGCAGCAGAGAGAAGCTCTGAGGCGCCTGATAGCCTGTCCGTCTCCACTAGGTCAGCTAGAAGGGGCTGAGACCACGTGCCTGCCCTGGGGATGTCCAGACACTGGGCTGCAGCCGCACGTGCTGGGGCTCAGGATGGTGTTCCCAGAGGGAAGGACGGGTCCCCAGGCAGACACAGGGCTGGGTGCACAGATGGCCCTGAGTACTGTGTGGTGACTGAATGAAAGAACACACGAGTGGATGAGTGAATGATGGTCCAAAGCCATGAGTTCATGTGGGTTGAAAACCCTCTGCCTGCCCGGCTGGGACGTCCTGGGACTGTCACTGCTCTGACCTTGGTGAGCATCCTCATCACCCCAGCAGGCTGCAGCTCCCGGGGCCAGGAAGCCCTTGGATTCAGCCCCTAGTCAAGGCCTGACGTCCACCAGGTGGCCCAGCTGTGCTCAGTGAACAGTCTCTGAAGTGGGGTATTGATGTGTCCACCTCCCCCCCAGACAGAGAAGGCTTCAACCATCTCCAGTGTCTGGCTCAGGTGTCTTCCCATCTCCCAGCCCAGAGTGTGCCGCAGTGTGAGGCACGCTGAGCCAGAAGACCGGGGCCGGGAGTACACGTGGCCTGGCCACTTCCGGTGGTGTGGCTTTAGGTCGTCATTTCTCTCTCTGCCCGAGTTTCCTTATATAAAGTGGAGACAAAAATTCCTTTTTGTCTTTACTGGATGTGGGGTTATTACCATTATAACTAGCGAGTTAATATTAATAGGAGGAAGATAACGAAAGGGAGGCGGACATTGTAAGCTCGGTCATCTGGGCAGCTTCCCCAGGAAGCTGCAGTTTCACACTCCCCAGGGAACTACTGGTCCATTCCTGCAAATCCCTGGGGAAAAGGGTCCAACCAAGGGGAAGATGGGCGCACGCAGAGTGAAGTCAGGGTGATGTAGGGAAGGTGCTCCCTGTCAGTCTAGCGGGGGGACAAAGATCATTGGCTAGGGGGGCAGAGCCACCACAACACAGGAAATCCTGAGGCTTAACTGGTTAAGCTCCAGGTTATCACCCCGAGGCAAAAGTTCTCTCCCTCTTGATCTCTCCTTTCACATTGTTGTCTTGCAGTCCCTTGCTCCATGGCCCACACTCGCTTGCCATGTGGCCCTAGAAGTTGCATGGCCCACGGCCATGAGAACCCCAATGCTCTGGACTGCAGTAGGGAACACAAGCTAAGCTAGCCAGAAGCTGGTCTGGGCTGTGCTTTCACATGGAACGAAGACTCGGGGCAGTGGCGTTAATTCTAGTTCTGCTAGAGACCAAATGGGAGTCTCTCCATGGCAGAACAGAGGGAGATGGGAACTTGGAAGGGAACCCCCTTAATGTTGCCTCATCAATAAAGCTTTCCGTGATACCTCATCCCCATGTGGGGGCCTCAGGAAATGCTTGTTCCCACAGCACCCAAAAGCCCACTTCTGCCAGCAACAGACGGAGACATGGAGAGCGCCCCACGGATACCAGGGTCACGGCTCCTCCCCCAGAGGCAGGGATCTTCCCTCCCCCTGTCCCAGTCTTACCCGCTCCTCCCTGGCGTCTGCCTTCACACCCGCGCTGGCAGTTCTCAGGGAGCAGGAGCTGGGCCTCCCTCATCGCTCTGTGCCCTCTAATGCCCAGGACCCACCACGTGGTCAAGCACCTGGCAGGGGAAGTAAATGTTCACTGACTGGTTCTGTGATGAGTTAAAGCATTTTCTTAACCAGAGAGGCGAAGGGACCAAAAAAGTCTCCACCCTGAGCCTGTTTGATGTAAAGCTGTTTATTAAGAAATAAAAGACTGGCCCTGGCTGGTTTGGCTCAGCCGATAGAGCATCGGTCCACGGACCAGAGAGTCCCAGGTTCAGTTTCCGCTAAGGGCATGTACCTCGGTTGGGTTGCAGTTTGTCCCCAGCCCCTCTTGGGGTCGTGTGGGTGGCAACCAGTCGAAGTGTCTCTCTCACATCGATGTTTCTCTCTCTCTCTTCCCCCCTCTCTCCCTCCTGCTCTATCTGAAGATAAATGCAAAAATGTCCTGGGTGAGGTTAAAAAAAATTTTTTTTAAATAAAAAAAAAAAAAAACTGAGAACGTTTGACCCTCCCCCCTTTCCTGCCCAAGAGATTCAGACAGAGAACTGCTTGAGGAAGGGGATGTTGGGAGGCTGCCTGAGCCTCATCTGAATGAAGCAGAGGAACCGAGAGGCTCCAGGCAGGACCTGTGAGCCACACGCCCCGTCATGTCCCGTAGTCTGTGAGTTGCCCGCAAGGGTTCCCTGCCATGTGTGCTCCGCTCTCCCCCAACAGCCTGGAACCCGCCCATTCTCACCTCTGAAATCCATCCCCTGTCCGCCCCCCTTTCTCTTTTGTCCAAAAATGCCATGTGCACCCCATGTGGCCCCCCCCCTTCGGAATGTTCACGGATGTATCGTGTCTACGTGAACGCCCCATGCACACGAATTGAACTTTGACTTTCTCTGTTCACTGGCCCCTGTCAGTGTGGTTATTGGCCAGAAGAACGTAGAAGGCGGGAGGGAAAGTGTTGCCCTTCCTGGGCCCACACAGGGCCGACACGGGAGGGCTGGGCCACAGGCAGTACTTCACACCACAGAGGCTCAGGACTCGAAGGTGTCTTCCAGAGAACCTGCCCCCGGCTCCACCTCGACAGACGAGGAAACTGAGAATGTGGAGGAGGCTGCCAGAGATCACTCGTGCAGCGTGTCCTGCTCTTCCTGCTTGTCCCTCAGCTAAAGTGTCCCCGGTCCCTAGAGAAGGGCTTCCTCCATGGCCCTCCCAGGTCGTTCTCATCAGACCATCCTCCGCCCCGCACGGCTCACCCCAGTGCAGACACGGGGAAGCCCGACACGGGAACCCCTGCCTGCCTCCCTCAGGTCACTGCCTTCCTCTGGGCACCTGAGAGCCAGGAGTGTGCCCGGGTCCAAGGGCTGGAGACGGGGCGCAGCTGAGTGGAGGCTGAGCTCCGAGTGGACGGCAGCGGAGGGGAAAGCAACGTGCGCAGGCTCCAGCCGGGGTCCGGGCTGCCGAGTCCACAGAGCCCAGGGCAATGCACTCCGCATAGACGGCAGAGCTGGACCAGCCTGGCTTTGATCCTGACTCTGGGGGTGAGTTACCTGGGCAGTTACTTCTTCTATGAGCTTGTTTTCTCACCTGTAATGTAGGAACACTGATCCCTACCTGGATACAGGGATGATTCAATAGGAACATAAGCAAGAGAGTCTGTTAAGGACTCAATGTTTATATCCCCCCAGATTTATACATTAGGGCCCTAACCCCTAGTGTGACTGTCTTTGGAGACGGGGCCCACTAAGGAAGCCACTAAAGTTAAATGAGGTCATAAGGCAGGGTTCTGATCCCATAGGATTGGTGTCCCCCTAAGAAAAGACCGCAGAGAGCTGGGGCGTGTGCACCGCCTGCCCCCACACAGAGGAAAGGCCGTGGAGA